CACCCAAGCTGTGATTTCCACCAATCTTGTGCAGGTCTTGTGAAGGAAGCCATAGTCATGGTCAAGTATCCAATTTCTCTGTTATATCCTGAAAATAATGTTCCACTGCAGGCATCCTCTACTCCCAGCTCTTTCAATCTTCCTGCCCCTTGATTTTTGATTTTTAGGCCTTACTGGTAAGTATGAGCAAATAGTAAAGGAGCATAGAAATCTAGTACAGCATATGGGAACCTATAGAATAGCAATATAGAGTCTAAAGCAATCAAAGAGCAGGAAAGAGATTTTCAAAGCATATTGTTCATTCCTTCTGGCTGAACAAGTTCCCGGAGGAGAAAAACGCTTCCAGGCTCACAGTCATCCTGAGAATAACAGAGGGGAACCAGGGAAGGGATACTCCACTCACTTCATTCAGTTCTCTCATAGGACCTCACAAGGTTTAGATCACAAGAAGTGGGCCTTGGGGTAGGAGTTGAGTTCAGGCAGTATGATGGAAGCAATTCTAGGAAACAGGTCATAGAACAAGGAGGCAGGTAAAAAAGATGCTAACACGTAAAAGATGCTAACACAGGCATGAGGGGTCTATCTTCAAAAATAGGCTGAGGGTGACTGGAACTTACCCATCTTACTGATAAACTCTGGAGACCAGTGTAAAGCACACCTCAGTTATTCCACAGAAGATTGGGTATAGTGGTCTAAATGAGAATGGCCTCCATAGGCTCACATACTGTAATGCTTAGTCCTCTTTGGGAAGGATTAGGAGGTGTGGTTTTGGTGGAGCATGTATGTCAATAGAGATGGGCTTTGAGCTTTCAAAAGCCCACACTACTCCCAATTAGTGCTCTCTCTTTCTCTCTCTGTCTCTGTATCTCTCTCTGTCTCTGTCTGTCTCTCTCTGCTTCTCTCTCTCTCTCTCTCTCTCTCTCTCTCTCTCTCTCTCTCTCTCTCCTGCCTCAGTCCTATGATTGCCTGCCTGCTACCATGTACCAGGATGTTCATGGATTCACTCTCTGAAACTGTAAGACTAAGAAATTCTTTCTTCCATAAGTTGCCTTGGTCATAGTGTCTCTTCACAGTGATAGAGAAATAACTAAGACATGCATCATCTCTCATCAGTAGAAGGTTGCTCCTAGACTTGTGACCTGCCTGCCACATAGCAAGGTGTGCTCTGGTGGCCAAAAGGAGAGCCTGTACAAAGGTGTGCAGGTGCAACCAATAGGAAATATGGCCAATAGAGCATATAATATAAATGGTAAAGGCAGAGGTGAGATCCTTCAGTTGTCCTATTTTCCTGTATGCACATTATTTGTAATGACTGTCTTTGCATTGACTAAGGATGTGCTTTAGTGGTTATTGGACTTCAAGTCTAGTTATAGAGCACTCTAAATCATAGCAGTGAGACAGTGGTGTAAAACCCAATCATGGTGATCCTTATGGACCGGTGGTATAGGAAGAAAGAACTTAGCAGCCCCCTGCTGGAGCAGTGAAGGAAGTCTTCCTGCAATTTTTTGTAGTGTATCATTTTAGGTGCAGATGAACAATTCATTCAGGGCTCCTAGGACCTAGGAAGTCCCTAACACAGTGCTTAACCTATCTACCTCTATTTAAAGTCCTATGGATGTTTGTTGTCAAGCATCCTGCTAGACATTTTTTCTGTCTATTCACACCTAATCTCTGCCTTCTCACCCACTGGTTTCTAAGAGCTAGACTGGTGCATAGTGGGCAGTACTCTGAGCTATAACTTCCAAGAACCAAAGCCTCATCTCATCTCATTCTTCATGGCCCTTTGATTGACAAATACAAATGAATTGAAACCTGGTGTTGAGAGAAAGGGGATTCAAGGGCACTAAAATAATGCTAATTTGCTTTTTTTTTAATTGGCTGTGTGCAAACCTTTACAGTATAAAAATAAATTATTTGGTTTGATCTTTTTAACTACAAGAGATTGGTGGATCAGAATTAAACTTATAAAAACTAAAAGACTTATATGCTGTTAAATCCAGTGCTAAGACTTGATAGAAGTTTATCTTTCTCAGACTGGAATAATAATACATCATGAGTAAAGCCTTAACTTTTAAATATTAAAAAAAATCTATTTTATGTTATGAATGTGACTGTTTTGCCTGCATTTATGAACACATATCAAGTGCATGCAGTGCCCAGAAAGGCCAGAAGAGGATGTCAGATCCCCTGAAACTAGAGTTACTGACAGTGGGTGCTGGGAACTGAACACAGGTGCTCTGCAACAGCAGCAAGTGCTTGTAATGACTGAGCCATCTCTTCAGCTTCAAGCATGAGGAAAGTCTTGTTTTTAAGTTCCATCTGCACAGTGGAACACATTCTCCTTGTTTTACAATCCTAGTCCAGGTCTCTACTCAGGAAGCTTTGCCAACTGCTGCTTCAGACTGCTCCAATCTCCAGACTTCTAAGTCCTTATGGCACAAAACACAGTCAGTTAGCTCACAGTAGGTTCTGGTCTTCCCTGTTGGTCTCATTTGTAGGATTAGACTTTGAGTTCTTTGGAAATGCAGAAGATGCTTTCCATTCATTTTGAACATTCTACAGGAACTTGCAACTATGACATTCAGTAGTGTACAATGGTTGATTGATTAATTTTAAACCATATAAATTTGACCTGGGTCTTGTTAGATACAAGGACAAAGAATAACCCAGAGAAACCAACAGGTGGTTCCCAACTGCCAGCTTTCCTAGATAATATAGGTCATTGTTTGTTAATAGAACTATCCCATCCTATTAATAAAACTAATAGCATTCATCTATGCACACCATTCTAGGACTTCAGGCTATTTTCATAGATCTGCATAAATTTAGCCTTACATTTATAATATATGCTTCCCATTTTATAAGAATGCTATAATTAGTCCTTTAAAAATATCTCCATCTCTTGTTTGGTCAGTCTATATTCATTCAGTATATATTCATCAAGTATTTTTTCAGATTTTTATATTAGTATATAGCTTAACTGTCAGAAATGTATATAAAACTCATTGTATGTGTAGGTGCATACTATCTTTATGTGTGCATATGTTCACATGTGTGGCTGGCTACACATGAATGTGCAAGTACAAGTTTACATATATGTATAAGGAGGTTAGAGGCTGATGTTAGGTATCTTTCTTGATCACGCTGCACCTCACATATGCAGGCAGGGTCTCCATATGCTACTACAGCTGCTCCAGGGATACTGTTTCCAAATCCCAAATGCTGGCATTCCAGGTGGGTTTCCATGCTGGTGTATGGCTTGTTCCTCTGAATCGCAACACTTTTTCCACTCAAGAGGGAAGGGGAGGTTACAAAAGGTCACATGTGCAGAGAACAAGAGCTTGGAAGAGTGCTTGCTCTCTCAGCTGTTGCTGGGGCAGCAAGGCAGCTCAATAGGTTAAGGCACTTGCCACTAAGCCTGACAACCTGAGTTACATCCCTGGGCCCTACATGGGAGAAGGAGAGAACCAGCTTCTGTAAGTTGTTCTCTGACTTCTACATGTGTACTCCCATCCATAAACACACTAAGAAACATGATTATATGACAGGACTTGGAAGCCCAGACCCATGTCTTTCCCAGAAGCTTTCTTTACAAAGTTGAGAACATTCGTAAACGAACTATAGAAAAGTAAAGAGAATTTGGCTGTGAATTACGGAAGCTCAAACCCACCAGGATAGAGGATAGGGGGGGGGGTTCTTACCACAAAAGAGGCAACTAAAGAGGAATTCTGTCCCGAGTTTTCTACAGTAGCCTATAGAGAACACCACTGAGCTGTTTTGAAGGAGAAAGATAAAGCCACTTTTGTTACTGCCCTGAAAGAAGTGGAGAGGGATGCTGAGAAATGATTTTTATGTGCTGATAAGCACATAAAGCAAAAGTAGGTCACACACCAGTGAGGGTCAAAATCTACCTTTCATTGAAGAAGAGAAGAGAGCATGCAAAGACTACAGCCAGTGGCTTGAAGCAAAGAAAAAGGCATTGTTCTAGCTGAAGACAGTTTCATGAAAGGATTTGTATCTTCCCATGCTTGCACTCTCAGGGGCTCACAAAATTAGGCTATTTAACATGGCAGGTTACTCGATTTGGAAAACACGGGAGGCCAAACATTCAAATAGTCTTGAAATTAACATTAAATATACAAAACTTGGAGATGAACTTTGGAGACCGATCTTGTTCCACTGAATTAATTATTTTGGTCAGCATAAAATCACAAACCGAAGACTATGATGGGATTGCTGTGAAGTGTAGTCATGGGAGGCATTTTCAGAAGGAATTGTCTGAGCCATGAGCTTCGTGTGCTCTTCTTGGGAATGACACTTCTGTGTTTTAGAATTTGTTATTCACAGATTTTACTGCATGCTCTTTCACATATAAAAACCAGATGCCTTTAAACCCAGCACTCAGTAAGTAAATGCAGGTGGATCTCTGTGTGTTCGAGACCATCCTGGTTTACAAATCGATTTCCAGGACAGCCAGAGCTGTTTCAAAGAGAAGCCAAAAACCAAAACCTATACTGAACACCAAGCCAAAAGTTTGATTGTGATCATTCTGGACTTTTGTAAAGTTGAGACAAGTCTGAATTAACTATTTGAATTTTATTCTTTTTTGACATGAAGTTGTGGAACACTCAGATAATCTACATCATGTTAGTATTCCTACAAGAAAAAACAAGTAAACCAATATGTGTTAAGCAATATACATCAATTTTACTGCAAACATTAGTGGTTTTAAAAAAGGTTTTGATTCATAACTTGTAGCTATTAAGTGTGCATGACTCAAGGTCTAAGAAACTGTAACTTAAGACAGTCTCTTACATGCAAACCCATGCTCTCAGTTTATAGTTAACTTCTTGGGTCAGAGGAGTAGACAGGCTGCACCAGAGTCAGAGGATAAACCATATTTTAAATATGTGTTAGTTATACGACCTACATAAAGCCATAAGCTGTTAATACAGCCACTGATTTTTCTTTTTTCACAAAGTCATCAGATATACTGCTAAGTTTTCCACTGTGGGCAAAGATACTAAAGTTCGTCACTTTCGTAGAGTCCAGATTGAGCTGCCAGGCGCTGAAACTCTCCTTCTGGGTTAAAGGCTTGTTTCACATCCAAACCTTTCCCATTAAGTGCTAAATATTTGCTGAAAGTTGGTCGAACACGCAGCTGCTTGGGAGCTGGGAGCGTTTGGTTTGGACGGGCTGAAATGAGTAAAAGTCACTTTAGAAGAATAGTCACTGGCAGATATGATGGGAAAATGATTATGAGGCAAATCCCCCATACTTCACACCATGCTGAGCTGGGTACTCCTCAGCTCCCCAGTTAAACTGAGCTGCTCTGTGACATACCTGTGACATCCAATCTTGTGTTACATGTGGTCACACCAGCTTCATTGACGGCTGACACTGTGTACCACCCAGCATCCTTTTTGTTTACATCTTTTATCAGTAAAGTCACCCTTCCAGCATTATCATGATATAAGCTGGAAAGAAACAAATAACACTAAGGCACAGGAATTAAAATTCTTTTCTTTCAGGTGAAAGGTTAAATGATATTGCTGACCCTCACTAATAAAAGAAAGATGCTGAAAACTCCAAGGCTGTCTCTCACCAATGCCAAGTAGTTATTGAAGTTTAAAAACTTACCCCACTTGTACATGGAGGTATCATTTCATAGCAGAGCATTTGTCTAGCACGCTTAAGACCCTCTGTTGGAGCTCTAGGAAGCATGCACACACACACACACACACACACACACACACACACACACTCTTTCCTCCCAAATAATTCCCTTTTAATCTTTTCTTGTTATTTATTTACTGTGGCCATGTTTTTTTATTGTCAACAAAATATGAACTCTAGGCTCTTTTATGTCTTGTTTTTAGGACTACTTGAATCTGAATTAAATCTGTATTTTTAAGAACAGACAACCCAAGGCCGTAATTGTGTGATTTATAATGTGTGTAAAAAGCATAATTAGATTCATCCAGCCAGTGTACATGTCAGCCAGGAAAGTCTTCTCTCACCTTATCCGATCAGTGTTGAACTGGACCATTTCATTGTTCCTTTTCCAGAAAAGCTTGGGTGGAGGGATCGCTGAGATCTGGCATTCTAGTTTCACTGACTCTCCCTCAAAAACTTTCTTACTCTGTGGTTTGAAGATAAACATTGGTGCTCTCTTATGCTCTTTTGCTGGACAGTGGTGGGAAATCAATAAAGATGATATTAAGCCACATTAAAATATTATGAAATTTGTATGTCAATGTTAAATCTTTAAAAAGCAACATCAGGATTAGAAACCTTTTTATTTTTAGATAAGATACTGTAACACACATTATTATTTTATTATATTCAGAGTACTTAAAATGGAATATAATGGCCTATTGAAGTTTTAGCCATGTTTCATTTGAAGACATGACATTTCATCTACAGGGAGCCAGCATCCATAGTGAAAGAGTAGTAGACAACTTCAGTTCAGCTTCCTTTTGGGGGATGCAACTTAGCATGTGCAGGGCTGTGGCCTTGATCCTCAGCCCTACAAAAACGAAATCTCTGTTGGCTCTACAAGCCATATAAAATTGGAAAATTTTTGTTTAGCTTCTCTGAGCCTCAGTTTTATGTATTGATAATTACATCATTAAAAACAAAAACAAAAACAAACACAAAACCCAAACCAAACGAACTACAGGTTGTAGTGATAGGTCTGCCCAAATATGAAAGAAGAGAAACTGATAATATGCAGATGTCAGACATCACAACCACCTACAAGAAGAAATGGGAAGAGCTGTGCTGACCCTGAAGGTGGATTTTCTAAAGGAAAAATGAACAGACCGGATAGATTCCAGTCAAGGTCTCTTTCAGCTGGAATAGGACATTATTTGTGAAGCTGCTGGCACAAATATGATTTACCCAAAGTGTAATAGTGGGAAGTGTGTGTTCTGGAGAGCCTGCACATATATGTTTATTCCCTCTTTGCTTTGGTTGAGGTCCCTTAGTTCTTTCATTGATCTAGGTATAAGTTCAAGATCATTGACCATCCTTTAACCTGATCAGGCTTTCATATAACAGACAATTATTCATTAAAAATTTCTTGTGAGGTATTACCATTGCTTAAAACATTACATATGCTATATTTAAAGTACTTAGATGATAATACTTAGATGATAAAATTTAAAAACTGGCCATGAGTTTTTATAGAGCTATGTTACCATACTGTGAGGTGAATGTTTTATTAGAACCTGTTTTTTTTCCCAAAGAAATAGGCATTTTTTTTGGTTATACTTTCCTAGTAAATATAACATAGGGCACAGCTAAAAGCTAACACCTAATATCCATTTTTCAGGTAGGAATTTACATTATGATAGCCTATGACAATTCCGTATCAGCATGAATCAGGATGGATACATTTCTGACTACAGAGCAGATAAATTATTAGACTAAAGTTCCTACTTTGAACTCCTTTTCTAGTTATATCAACAATAGCTTATACTGTTTCATTTGCTTCCTCAAAAATATATAATATTCTCTCTACCAATTTTTGCTCAGCCATGCTAATTTTTTCTCTGTTCACAATAGCTAGGGAAATGGAAACATCTGAATGTCCTTTAGTTGACCAATGGATAATGGAAATGTGTACATATATTATGAAATTGTATTGGGCTAGAAGAGAAAATAAAATAATAGCATTTGTAGGTGAATGGATGGAATTGAAAAATATACTGTGTGGTATAGACCCAGAAAAAAAATCTTATGTTGTTTTTCATATGTGATTCTAAGATCCAAACCTTAAGACATGAGTAGAAACTAGGAAAGTAAATAAGAACCATGAGGGTAGAGCTAGAGAGTGGAAATGGCAGGATTCAAGTGATGGGAACTCTCCTTCCAAGGACTGGCTTTCATAATACCAAAGGGAGTCATGCAAACTGATAAAAAGGTGAAACAATCATCAGTTCTACCTGGCTCTGAAGAACAATGCAAGATTATATCTCAGGGTGCATTAGTGGCATTCATATGTTGGCTGTAATCAACAGCTCTCTAATTGGACTTAAGACTGACTCAACAGAAGGGAAACCATTCCAAATACTGGAAACCTAGCCAGCTCCTTAGGAGTAGTGGGTTCATGGAACTTAGAAGAGAACTTACTACTGTCACTCTACTAGACCAGTACAGCTAAATCCTCACTGCATTCTAAATAATTATCTTTATATTCACAGATAAGCATATCTCTCAACCCTCATCAAAGAAGCCTTTCTTTACATTGGTGGAGGCACAACTAAAACCCCAAATCTGGTCAAAGTATAGAGAAGAACTGACTGTGAGGAACCCAGCCTCAATGGGTGTGTCTACAACACAACTCTTGTACCAAAAGCTCAGGGAGCATTTCAGAAAGAAGGCAGAAAGATTTTAAGAGCCATAGGAACAAGAAATCTGCTCTGAGACCATATCTCACAGCACAGACTAGAAATAACAGGGCACCCTCACCTTAACAAATAGTTGCCTAAACAAGACCTGAGCAAGGAGGGCACCGATAGTTCTGCTAATATGGAAGGGGGAAATCTCCCAGGGCTCCACCCTTAGACAAAAGCTACAGGTCACTAATGCCTACAGAGAGAAGGAGAACTGGTCTTCCCCAGGGATGAGCTCCCTAATTAGCTATAAACTACCAAGTGGTCAGCTCTGAAATCATACATACAAGCCACACTAAACAGACTTTATCTGTCTGCCTGTTTACCTATCTAAAATTATCATATAAAAAGAGGCCATACAGGAGGGAGGGCCTAGACCCTACTCCAAATGACTTGACAGATTTTGATGATCCCTCCTGAAGGGTATCACCCTCCCTGTGGATTGGGGGGTTTGGAGGGAGTGAGGGAGAGGGAACTAGGATCGATATGTAAAATAAGAAAAAATAATAAATACATATTAAAAAAAAGAAAAAGAGGCCATAAATTTGAGAGAATAAAGGGAAGGGTTCAAGATGGGCTGGGAGTGGATATTTGGAAGGGGCTGGAGGGAATAAAGGGAAGGGGGAACTGATGTAATTATATTTTAACTAAGGTTTTTAAAAAAGAGAAAGCAGGTTGAGCAAGCTCTGGAAAGCAAGCCAGTAAACATCTTAGTCCATGTCACCTGGTTCAGTTCCTGCCTTTAGGTTCCTGTCTTTAGCTCCTGCATCACCTTCCTTCAAGGGACTGTGACTTGAGATATGTAAAACACACCCCGTCTCCCCCCCTCGCCAAAATTAAAATAAAATTATATTACCTCCTTATTACCTTTCTAAAAAAGAACTGCTGGTAGGTCTGTCATTCTAATTTTACTGTTTCCTCCTAAAATGTCCTTTTGTGTTTTGAGTATAAATTGGTATTACACTAGATTTTGCAGATGTTAGCCTTAAGTATGAAGTTCTCTGGGCTTTTCTTTGAAATATTTTCTTTTATAATATTCTTGCTTTTTCAGCCATGTTGCCTTTAAAGGATTTCTTTGGAGGCTTACCAAGGACGTCCAGCTGCACCGTGAAAGTGGCTTCTCCAGCTCTGTTCCTGGCCACACATGCATACGGCCCTGCATCTGATGTTCTGACCACTTCAAAGATGAGTGAGTGAAAACCCTTCTCAGACACTATCATTTTGTGCAACTCATCTGATTGAACTGGTCTCCCGTTTAGATACCATGACACGTCAGGGGCCGGCAGGCCACTCACCTAGAAACAAAAATATAGCAGTTTTCTATTTATGATTTTAACAACTTTGTCATCTGGATTTGAGGTTAAAAATGGAAAGCAGGAGTTCAAAATATATTTATTGTAACTTTTTACTGTAAAATTAAAAACAAGATCAATATATTGTTTTTAGACTACTTCGGACTACATCTAATTCTTTCAGTTACTTCATTTAGAACACTAATTTATGTTTTATGTCCCATAAGGAACATGGAAGCAATGCTTTTGTACATAAACACTAGTTGTTTATATGCTTTTGTATAAAGACATTCAATCTTAATGGTAACTCTCATTGATAGGGTATCTGGAAAAATATTTTATGAGGAAAAATTCTTAGAATGAGGATAATCAAAATGTGATGTGGTCTCATCTAAAGTGATGTTCTAGCTTGAAAAACTGAGTAGCTTGAAGTTGTGAATGGACAACTACAGGTGCAAGTCCTTGAAATAGTCTGTTCTCTCTCTCTCTCTCTCTCTCTCTCTCTCTCTGTGTGTGTGTGTGTGTGTGTGTGTGTGTGTGTCCAGTACATCTGTTTATATCCAGTGCACCTGTTGATACACTAATCTTCCTAATTTTATGAGGCAAGTACTATTTTTTATTTCCATGTCACAAATGAGACAACAAAACACAGAGAGACTAAATAACTTGTCTAAGTTTACGCAGCTGGAAAGCTGCACAACCAGGGTGTAACTTGTATCAAGTCAGCTTCAGAATTTGTCTCTTTTCATTGTATGTAGTGTTTTTTAAGCTGTGTGGCAAGCTGTAAGAGTTTGGGAAAGAGGGCATTTCCCCAGACTTGGTGTCCCATTGATAATGTGTCCTTAGCATATTTGAAAACACTTACTTTGAAGTCCATTCTGCAGAATCGTCCTTCCTCAATGGACATGTTTTCTGGCACTTGGATGAAGCGTGGCGGGTAAAACTTTTCCTGGATGGCATCCTGGTCATTTGCCTCTGCTCTTGAGGATGATCTACTTCTACAACAATATTTTTAATAATGGTTGTATAGAAATGTCCTTGCTTTTCCATTTACCAATATAATTTGGGCATCGCGCTAGAAAGACCAGAACGTCTGCTTTGGTCTGATGGCATGGTGACAATGGAACAGACTTTAAGGTTGATGTATTCAGTGCCTTGTTGATGACTGGCAGAAATATAACAATTTAGAAACATCTGGTACAAACTGAACATTGAATAACTCTCTCCTTAAGTAGTTCTGCAAATTGATCAATGCATACCTCATTAAGTTTGTACAGGATTTTCCTTGTGATAAAGTTATTTAACACAGAAACATGGTCCTGACTGTTTGACTAAAATGTTTTTTTTTTAAAAATCCTTTGATAATTGACATACAATGTTTCAGCATTATCTTTGACATTTGAAAATTCACATTGGTTTTAAAAGGATATAGTAAACTCAAGATATATATATCTCCATTAAACATTTTGAGTGGAAAACACTTTAGATAGCCAAGCACATGTCTCTTTACAAATTAAACAAAATTACCTTACTTGTGATGTGGGAACCTGCAGCCGTGCATGTTCTGGGTTATGCTGCTTGAGATGAAAAAAAAATATGAAAGTTAGCATGCAATTGACCCTTTCAAACGAAGCAGAAGTGAGCAATTGTCGTCAAGAGGAATGTTTCTGTTTTGGTTGTGTTACTTCAGTCATAATTACCTTTGTGTATCTACCAATTGAAATACAGCAAATGAACTGCCCATTTCTTTAGTAAGAATCCCCCAAAATTAATAGGATACTTTCACAGGTATGATTTATAAAAATCAGCTGGACCTAAAATTGATGGTAGCTTAGTTTTCAGACGACTGTTTTATGATAAAGGATGATATGTCCCCTGATGTGTTTGACTTGGGGACATTGTACAGGTTGTACTTTAGCAAAGCAAGAATAGACATGAGGTCACTTGTGCTGGCACTAGGCAGTGGGTATTAAGCTACTGCTGAGCTGTTCCATCAACAACAGTAAACACATATTAGGCTGGAAAATATTTCTCCTTTTAGCTCATGGCATAAAATCCTGTTGGGCACTGTAAGAAATACAGATAAAACTATAAAAAACTTAAAATATGAATTAGTTACTGCTAAATAGAGAAGTATTTACCTTTTGTGTAAATATTTATATTGAGTCCCTGAAAATTATTTGTACTTGAGAATAAAGTTAGAAATTGATGAACATTATAATTGAATTAATTGATTATATATTTAGTGCCTGTTTTGTATGAATGTTCTTGGCAGAGTGGAAGATTGAAAAGAAGTAGAAAGTATACTCTCAGCCCAAATATCTTTGAGATATTTGTACAAGAACATAGAGAATCTGAGTAAAACAATTTATTTTTTTGGGATGAATCTCTTTAGTCAATGAATTTTGGCATTTTTAAACAATATAAAAAACTGGCTAGTCTTAAAAATCCTTAAATAAAATGTCAAAATAACTTATCAATTCAGCAAAAATGTATATATATATATATATATATATATATATATATATACACACAAAAATAAAACCAATAATTTAATAAAACTCAAAATCTTCTAAATAATTTTTTTCTAAGATAGGGTTTGTTTGTGTAGCCCTGGCTGACCTGGAACTAGCTCTGTAGACCAGGCTGGCCTTGATTAGTCTGCCTCTGCCTCCTGAATGCTGGGATTAAAAGCAATGTAACACCACTGCCTGACTAAAAATAAGTTTCATTTTGTTTTTTTTTCTTAACTTTTGGATTTAATGCATTATGTTCAGAAATAGGGTATCTCAGTTATAGCAGAGATGTAGTTTTGTTTATAGTTGCATTGTAATTGGGCAACATTTCATTTACCGTTTCTGCCTTCATTATATTCCTACTACTATTTTCTTGTCCTGGTACTGTCACCTTCCTTTTAAACACTCTCATAAATACTTAGTAATTTTTTGAATAATTCTATTAGTAGAGATCGAGTTGTCTTATTATGGCTGTTACTGCCTATGCCATGACCAGAGTTCAGTGTAGTTGATGCTCCATGTAAATTGGTTGAGCGGATGGTTGAATGAATTAACTGCTCAGTGTGTAAGATCTACTACATTAGACTTTGATGTATCCTTTCTGGTTGTATGTTGTATCCTTTCTTGCTACCTTAAAAGAAACAAAAATCTCTTATTCTCATTTGAAATTTATTTTCTCAATGAGTTCCAAGCTCCATCTCTGTTGCTCATAGTCTTGAAAACTAATTAAGAGGGAGTAACAGTCATCTCACAGAGGGATACAAAAGGGTAATAGTTCTTCCATTTGCCTTTCCCACAGTGCAACTTGTTTTTGAGTTAAATTACCAGTTATAACAGTTATAATTTGTTATAATTAAGCTGGTCAGGTGCGAGTCTGTGTGTGTTCACTGTATCCTGTAGTTCATTTTTTTTTTTTTGAAAATGGGCTTTCATTAATTTTAGAGATGTTACCCCATAGAGTCATTTTTATTAGCTTGTTCATGAAAATGCATATTTAAACTCAGGAACATGACCAAAGGAATTAGATAAGTCTCAAAATGGCTTAAAACATTAAACAATTTAAAAATTCCAAAAAAAAGTGTCCAAAGCTGGCCACGGTTGTGTTCCCATTTGGTCCAGGTACTTAGCAAGCTGAGGAAGGAGGAGCAATTCAGCCAGGTTTAGGGCTGACACTCCTGTGTTAAAAAGAAAAACAAAGGCTACAGTTATGTATCAGTCATTTTTATTTACCTGTGGAGAATCTTGGGCATCACTGGTTTGAGCCTGAAAGACAGCAGCAGCATTTTGTGGACCTAGCAACCTTCGAGCCATCTTCTCCTCATAGGTCAGCCTCTAAATAGAGGGTGGTGATGGATTTAGTCAGAAGTATGTAGAAAGATAACTTTGAAAACCATTCCTCTAAGTCAGAACTTCAATCTATGCTCCTATTTTTGAATTATAGTTTCTATGTTTCCCAGAGTCTTACCTATAAAGATGAGCTACTAACTCAATTGTATATTAAAAGCTAGATAGTAATTACAGCTGTTTTTATTTGTGTATAGATATACTAAGGTGCAAAGGAATTAAGTTGGTAAATTTTTGCATTAATTACTAGGTAGGCAGACATTTTATGAGAAGGTAATGGTTAGTTTTATTTCATGGAGCACAGGTTGGCTTTGAACTTATTATCTAGTCAAAGCTGACTTTCAACTCCTGATCCTCCTGCCTCTACTCTTCCAACTCCACAGGCAGAGAGATTAGAAATGTGTTAATATTGAGTTTCTGAGAAAATCATGTGTAAGACAAACGTTTCATTGTATCATCTAGGGTTTTTTGTTTTGTTTTGATTTGTTTTGTTTTTAAAGCTGCTTCATCCATTTACTATGGAAACCCAAAAGGCGGACTTCATGTTGGAGTAGTAATGAACTGCATGCCAGCAAATGTTCCCGCTTAAAAAAGTGAATCCTATTTTTTGCTATGAGAGCTATGAGAGACAGAAGTAATTTGTGAGTGTGTGTGTGTGTGTGTGTGTGTGTGTGTGTGTGTGTGTGTGTGTGTGTGTGTGGTGATACTGAGTATCAATCTTATGTTAGGTCCTACCAGTGAGCTGTATTCGCAGCCTCAGAACTTTCTTATTGGAATTAGGTTTTTAATAGTATAACTGGCCTTCTGCGCATATACGATAGCTTGCTCACTTGATTTCCATTATGAAGAAGGGTGTCCTTGCATTTCAGCTTTCTCTCCAAATCTTGCATCAGTGCTTCTTTTGATCCTTGGATTTCATGGTCAGGAGTCCGTGGAGTGGTCTTAGCATTTGCCGTTGGGGATGGCATAGCATTTACTGGTTGGCTAACTGAGGACTGTTGATAGCTTCAAAAAAGAAAACAAATGAAAATGGTAAAATTGAATTCATTCAGTAAGCCATTTTTAGATACATTGAGTTTACCACTTAGAATCTCTAGTGTTGTTAAAGACACCAAATATCATGATAGCAGTCAAGAAGGATGCCATAAAAATGTCTACTGCCTTTATCTTCTCTTTTGGCCAGAGAAAACTATATAGCGGGAGGAAGAATTTAGACGTAAGGAGGACATCTAGAAGATCCCTGCTCTAAAGAATATGATGGTTAAAGGAAACTTTCTAGTTCTTTTAGCCTGGTTGTTGAATTTCTTGTTTGACAGAGAGATGGATATTAGGCAGTGGTGTGCTTCAGCTGCCTCCCCTGGGCTTGAGAGGGCTGACGCTTTTTAGGCTCTCTTCCTAGCAACATGTGGTCTCAGGACCAGGTTTGAATTGATGGTGTCAAAGTTCTTTACACCAGGGGAACTGGTAGATGCTGCCAATCATGACTCTTTCTTTTAGAGCTGACTTGACCAGACTGTACAGTGTTTTGTGAACTGCTCCTCGATGGGATCTCTGGCTTTCCTATTAATTCCCAGTTCCAGTTAGTTTTATATTTCAATTAATCCATTGCATAAAAATAACTTTTAATGTAATGATGATTTCTTTAGTATTGCTAGACTTATTATTATTATTATTTTGGTATAGAAAGAAAATGATAGAGGAAGACAGAGCTTGAAACATAACTTAAAAAAATAAGATTTGGGAAAAACCCCAATGATCTGGAATTAATTTGAAAAACAAGTTCTTATAATACATTCTGATCCTAAATGTTTATCTAAGGTACCCTGAGCCCTCCACAAGTTTCCATATTGACATTGGTAAAGAGCGGGGGCAGCAACTAAGGGATCCTGTATTGTTAGCTGTCAAGTAGCTCAAACTTTTCCTAGTATTTTACATTGCTCTAACTTAGCTTACTGATTTAGAACCCTACATGGGCAAACCTGTTCATATGGGGAAACTGGCCACTGCTCTAATGAACATTTTGTGATGATCACAATAAACATTCCCTAGTCATCCAGATCCAAGTGAGATCAAGATTCACAAGAGGACTTGTGATTCAGAAGACTGAGTGGAGCTAGGGCCTTCACTTTGTGTGCTGTGGGACCTGGTGATTATCCCAGGGTCGAATGTAAACAGATGATGAGTAACAGGTGCCATCACTCGTGACCATGCCACTCTATGCCTACTGCTATAAAGCATAGCTATGGGGAATACTGTCAGTTCATCAAATGGATGTTCATTTTATCACAGTCAGGGTGTAGTGCCTTAGAAACTGATGATACCCTTTCTGTCTTTATATGTTAGGCATTTGGGTTTTCATTGTCTGTATTAATCCTTAACTAAAGTCTGATTTGCTCAATAAAGTAGGTAGTCAAGTCAATCAAAAATGTAGGTAAATAGTGAGGCCCTCCTCCCTTGATTAAATTCTGAGGCCAAAGCAGTGGAATTTCCTCCACCCTTTAACATTCCTGTAGTGTATGCAATGATTGCCTATAATGACTTTCAGTTCTAGAGTCCCATCTCTTTGAGGGCCACGTGTGCTTGGTAAAGTGAATTAGAATTAGACAATTCTGTTCTCATCATCATATTTCATAGAAAGCCTGAGGGAATGTTAATGATAGCCAAGCCTGAGAACCACAAGATAGCCTCAAGTTAGTTGATTCACTACATAGTCTCATCGTCTGCACATTAGGTGGCATATGTACTAGACTGATAGATTTTTACTTATACATTTGTGTTATGTTTTTACACTGCTTTATAGGTATTTTTCTTATCACTGTTAATCCTGACCATTAAATGTGATACACCTCAGAAAACTGGATCACCTAGCGGGCTATTTGCCAGATGCCCCATGGCAAGCTCCTTGGAAGAAATAATTAGAATTAAAAAACTCCCCTCACTTTCCACTGTGGTTTGATCAACCATTAACACCGTTGCCTGAGAACTTCCTATCATTGAGAATTGAAATAGGCTTTCAAGAGTCTCTAGGTCAGAAGCCAAGGGGTGACTTTAGAAGATGGAGCACTCCTGAGCCCCTCACAACAATGAGGGAATTGTGCACAAATGTTCAAAGGCCAGGGCTTTCCACCCTGTACAGCTGGACTCAGAATGGGCATCAAGTAGCAATGGCAAGATTAGAAGAGTTATCTACAGCTGCTGAAAATGGAGCAGCTAATGCTGGACCTTTGATCTCTGGTTTGGAGGCCTTCTAGGCTTGCTATCTTACTCTATTTTTACTTCTCCTCTTTTTCTTTTTTTTTTTTAAATTTAAATTTGAAACAAATTTGTTTTACATGTCGATCCCAGTTCCTGCACCCTCCCTCCTGTCCTTCCCTGTTCCCCATCCCAACCCACACCCCATCCCCTTTCTGCTCCCCAGGGAGGGTGAGGCATCCCATGGGGGAGTCTTCAAAGTCTGTCATATATTTGGATCAGGACCCAGACTTCTCTTCTTAATTCTGCACAAAGCTATGTGTGTGGTTGAGGCTCTGTGAATATTTGGTTGATAACTTTTTTTTTCTGTGCAGAAGTTGAATAGAATTGAAAGACTTTACTAGGGGAAATGTTACAACAAGAGTAGGTTATATATTTAAAAACATGATATAAGAAACTTAGAAATACAAAGAAGCTACATGGAGAATGGTCATATTAGTAACTGTGAACAAGAAAGAACTACAAAGTGTGAGATGAATACAATGGGAATTTCTGGGGAGTTGGGGGAAGAAGGGGTCCTTCTGAAATAGTAAGTCAAAACTATGAGAATATGTTATTCCAGGTCAGGAACCATTGATCATCAATTCTGTTTAATAACTATATTATTCCATCATGTTTTTGAGTGTCCTGGTTTTTATATTTAAAAATAGGGAGTAGATTCCACTACAAGTTGAATTGCTGTGGTCAATTCATCTGCATTTCTGGAATTTCAACCAATAATATAAATTTTGGAAAAATTAGCTCAGCCATCTTGTTGCTGAACACTCTCATCACCCATATAAAATTGGTTGAGTATCACAACTTGATACCTGCTCTAACCTATAGGCTGACCTTGTACTTTTACAGGTTTATTTTCTGTTCAACATCAAACAAATCTCCAGAGAAGACAGAAACATTAGCAAGAGTTCCAGTAAGACATGGTCCTCCAGAGAATGTTTGAGATACTTCTGGTTTAATCTCTGATATTCTCAGCAGCCAAGAAATATGAAAACTGATAGCCCTAAATTTAAATAAGTACAAAGTATTCAGTTCAGGTTTTAAAAAAAGCTCAACTCCACATGGTGTCCCTTCCTGGGGCAGAGTTCTTTCAGGCCTGTCTCTGGCCATGGAATTATAGTGCCTGCTTGCATAAGGCCGTAGGTATTCGCTCCTGGATTTAGACCATCTGACAAAGCTCACCAAGTTACAGCTTCACTTACCAACACAAGCCTGAAAGCCACAAGCCTTGTGTTCCAGCCTCCCTTCTGATCCCAGTACTGACTGTTTATACAAGTGACTGCCTGAATTTCAGACGTTTAAAAAGTGTTAATTTTCAATTATATTAGCCAAGTGGATACTCAGGATTAGAGGGAGAAACGTGCAGGAAGAAAAGACTACTGGAAGAAACTTAATAGCCGTTGCTTATGAGGGAGGAAATCCTAGCCGTGGAGGAGTGGACAGGTGTTCTGCAACCCAACCAAGCCAGACCTCAGAGGAATTAAATTTGCAGTAAGAGAAACTTAGCTTAGAGCTAAGCAGAAAGTTTACCATTCCCTGGTATGTTAGGAATCTTTGTCTTTTCTTTCTGAAGATGATAAATAATAGGGATGTAATTGTGTAGACAGTAGGTAATTTGAGTTCCGCTCAGCCTGGACACTGAAGAATGCTACCATGACCCTCTTACCAGTGTCCTGGCTCAGCGAGAATGAAGCCCACGCTACCGCTTTATGCTCTAAACAGTAACAGCAGCTCACCCTCAAATCGCCTCAGACAAAGCTCATGGCACATGCTGTTTACACAGATTCACTTACTTGGAGTCCACAGTGGATGGAATTTTACTGCTACTGTAATCAGGTTGAGATGGTAATATAGAGCTGAGGAAGCTGGCTGGGGACTGGTTATAGGCGGCAGTAACCTTTTGGCCTGGGTTGGGGCCAGCAAGCTGCTGGGAAGCAGGATAAGCAGAGGAAGACACGGTGATGTGAGAGCTCACTGTGGAGGAGGCAGAAAACCTCTGCTCGGTGCACTGGCGGGGCTGGATGACGATGGAAGACTGTTTGGTCTGGCTAGGGAAGCTGGAGGCTTCCGGTCCTGGAGGCTGCAGTCTGGAGCCACATGGATTTTGGGACTGGATGAAGTGTTTTGGACGTTCGTAGTTAAACATACTTAGCTGATATGTGGCGAATCGATTTGTTCCCAGATGGGTAGAGTCCCGGCCGTGCAGCTGAAAGTAGGAATTACAAGACAGTTGCAGCAAGTCAGAAGCAACCTTAGTCTGGCCCTGCTTGATGAGATCTCAAGAACACTGTACTCCTGGCTTCGGTGGGTTTTTCTTGAATATTGTTTCTGAAAAGAGGGGGAATGATTAAGTTACAAGTTTACTCCAAGCCATACCGTTTATTTGACATCGTCGACAAAAGCTTATGCATTTTCAGGGTCGCCTCAGGGTAGCGTTTCCCGCCTTCTATCTTTTCTCATTACCCCTGTCTTTGCCCAGGTGACTTTGCTACTCAGAATAGTTATGTAAAAATGATTCAGTGTGCTTGCTCATCTCTGGGTGAAAGCATAAGTAGCAGTTTCAAGACACACACCACAATGTTTTCCAAGAAGCAATTTTGTTTTTCTTGCTAAGAAATCGTTTTGATGTCACTCAGTGTGATAGTTCTAGAGCCTCATGACTAGCTTCCATCCAGATGCTGCAAATTCCTCACCCTCAGAGATGTAAAGATTTAACATCAATAGCAGTTAATGTATGTCAGTCGTTATCAAGACAAACTCTCCACATATCTCCCTAAAGTAGATTAATATCCCTTTTGATATTTCAATGTCCATTTGCGTTTTCTCAATTTCAAAAAGTAGAATGAACATCTAATTTATTACGGCCAATTTTCAATTTTTTTTATTATTATAACTCATTGATTCTCTTTCTGTCCTTGATTGAATACTGATCACACTAGCAAAGTCTGGTGACTAAGGACTTATTGTATGCTTGCTAGTCTCTACGTGTATAACATTTATTACAGACTGCTTTTGCAAAGCTGGATGTCATTTTCCTTGATATTTTTAGATTATACTTTCTAGTTATTGATAGCAGTGATCTCTTAATTATCTAGTTTATTTCCTATTTCATTCATTTAATATGTGGGCTAGTGTTGAAATCATTATACTTCCTCTACTTCCTCTTATTTTCAATGGCAATCAGTAATTATAGACATATATAAACAACACATGAAACTAGCCTGTCAATCAAGGAAAGATGGATACTATTGCTTTTACTTATCTGTGGACTCAGTTGCCTTTCTGTCTTCCCACATCAGGTTCACATTTTTTTCTCATTTTGCTATTAAAATCCACCCTGGGGGTTATCACTGCCTCTGATTTTTTTCCCCATTGCTAAGTAAAATAAAGGCCAGAGCAACTGCTCCTGCAAGTTACTGTAATAGCCACTGTTTTTACTCAAAATATGAGATGATTTAATTTAAGATATATTATTTTGCTTCACATAATATAGAGAAGTGCTGAAACTTTGATAAATCAAATGTTTAGCTGCAAAGTTTACTGAGTTGCTTACCCCATTAAAACTGAGTGGTGTATAATTATTTGCATTACAATCTGAAGGAAAATACAGTTTATGATTCATCCTGACCAAGTCACCTTATCCTAAGGGTTTGCTAGGCAGGCTAGAATTAAGTTAACATTGGCAAAGACAAAGCTGCCAGGAGCTGAATAGAAAAAGGCTCTGTGGAGAAAGAGTACTTGAAGAATTATGTTCCCTAATTTCAAATTTATGAACCCAAATGCTTGCAACCAGAGTGCAGTGTGGAAACGAACTACATGAGGTCTTGTAATTGTCAGGGAGAAAGATCCAGAGGGTGGGGCAGTTTTATAGAAACCTTTGTTTCCTGAAATAAAAAGGCTTTATTTCAAGACAACTGGTTTTATAGCAATAGGTCTCTTGCCTGAATCTAGAGTTTCGTTCTTAATTTTCTTTCTGTGCAGAACAGTTATTCAAGCTTGTAACCAACTGCATTAAGACATAAGCTGGAGATAGTTTCTAACAAGAGTTTCTGATTTCTCTTCAAAACATATTTTTAGAATGCCAACTGTCTTAAGAATTTTGGTTTCAGTCTCCTTAGTTAATAATACTGTATTTTAAAAATCTCAAGTAAAGATACAGTTTCAAAACGTTTACTCATCTCAGCACAACATTTCACACAGATGTTTAGTTTCTAAAATGTTGATGCAACAATGTATCTCCCCAGACAACTACACTTATTGTTTGTGATTGCTCCAAAGTTCAGTTCTCTATTTGATTCTAAGTGTTTTTCTATTCCTAGTAATGACATTTCAATTTCAAAGACTATAAAACAGTCTTCTGCCACATCTTATTATAAAAATAATGCTTTAGAAATTATTAATTTAATACGTAACATTTGCTAACATTGACCATTAAAAAAATTCTTCCAGTATAACAGAGACTTTCATAGAAGACTGAATTGAGGCCACAGTACAGGGTCATAATTACAGTCAGATTCCAAGGAGAAGCAATACTTTAAAAAGAAAGAAAGGATGCAGAATTCTCTTTACTTGTGTCCTCTGCACAAGCCTTCCTGTTCCTTTGGACTGAACAGGCTCCTTTATCTTTAAATTTGTATACAGCCATACAGCACCTTTATAATATTGTAACTGTCAGTTCTCTCTCTCTCTCTCTCTTAATATGAAGATCACCTTTGTACATATGCCTCTGATCCATGTTAAAAAAAAAAACAAACAAAAACTCAAACCATAGCACAAATAAAGAAGACACTTACCCTGAGTTCAGAGGGTGCCAGCTCAGCTCAACTCACTACTGAAGAGAAGGGATATGCATCTCCTTCCCTCAGGCTAATGCGGCTCTGGGCTTAGTATCACAGTGCCCTGACTTTTATCAGCTGCCAAACAGTGACATCTGATGTGCTTCCTGTCCATCTACCTATGCTGCATGCCAAAGTAAGAGTCCACAATCTAAACAATATCTCAGATGTCTTGGTGATATTTCAGGAGTGGGATTACATGAGCTTCTCTCACAGGCCTCTTTATTTTAGAAATGAATTTTGACTATAAGTTAACAAGCTTATACAGGGCGAGAGTGGAAAGGGGAGAAAGTGGAAGAAAACTTGATTTGTACATGTATTGAGGTGGGGTTTTTGAATCTTCTCGATTGGGGAATCAAGGATGAAAGGGGAGAGAAGAGTGAGGATGAGTTTTTCTTCTCAAGTGAGAGGACCAGCAGGGGGAAAAGATGACAAATTGAGTCGTGCATCACCCTGCATCTGAGACCTATTTTTTCACTTGCTTACTAAGAATGGGGGCGGAGTCTGACTCAAACAGCACTTCAGGAGGAGTGGTCAGGGAACATGCCAGACAGCAGAGTCATGGTGGCCTCTGACCCAAAGGTTGACAAGTGCAAAGTGTCATTTGGTTTAGCAAGTTTTCTGAATCTGCCTGGTGTATGCTCCCAAGACCTAGCAGTTTTATTTTCAGAGAGTTTTGAAACTCTAAACAATCAAACAAATAAGATTAAGTATGTATTGCTCTTTTGCTCCTTCTTCATTTTGCACTGAACACAGTCTCTCTCTCTCCCCCACCCCCTCTCTCTCTCACTCCCTCCTTTCTTCCCTCCCTCCTTTCTTTCTTGATGGCCTTGGAGACCATTATGTTTAGGCTTCCATTTTGTGCAGGAATGTAAAATAACTACACAGGAAACAATCTGTTTCCTGTGTAGTTGGCCTGAGGATCAGGCCAATCAATTAGGATTATTTCCTTTCAATGACTTTAATTCTCCTAGCTCACAGGTAGGTATTCAAATCTCGTTTTAGTTAAGATGTGTGCTAGGGTTAGAAAAAAAAAAAAAAAAAAAAACAACAACCATGTGCTTGGGCACACCCGAGTCATATAGAATTCTTCCTAGTGGCCAGGATTGATATTCTGTGCCTATAGTCCCAGCTACTCAGGAAGATGAGGTGAGAAGATTGCTGAAGCCACTTACGAAGCAAAGTGAGAAATGGCCTAAAAAACGCTCTCCACAACTGATCATGTCCAGTTGCCTTGCACTGCTCTTCAGGGAAAACTGGGCACTTTCTGTCTCAGGACGTGGCTGTTGCTTTAGTAGCAAAGCATACCAGACTTGACGAGTGGGCGGTTGCCTACAAAGTCTTATTTTAGGAAATCTCCCAAAATATTTTAGCACACCTGCTCTCTGATATCTCAGATCCCTTCAAAACCTTCCAATCCACAGTATCAAGACATAAAAATGCGAATTACATAAAAATAAGAAGAGCCAGAAATACAGCATTTTCTGTAGGTAAGAGACTGTTTTAAGCATTTTAAATGGGCTATCAGTGGTAGATGTTTGACTCTGCCTGAGGAAAAAAATGATTTGGACAAGGAAGAGGAGCTATTAGATTGAGGTGTCCTAGAGTTAAACTTTGGGATGTATCTTACCACCTAAGTGCAGAAGATGTCAAAGATAGGCCCCTATACCCCTAGTTTGGTACAGAGTGGCTTCTAATGTACTATAGTTGAGAAAGAATTTTAGTCCTATGTATCCTCTCTTCATCAAGTGTTACCCATTTTGTGGCTAGGTATTTGTAAGATGTGATATATGTGACAACCCCTATGACTCAAGACAAAAAGTTCATCCTACACTAGAGGATCAAGGGATAATTTAGGAAGGGTAAGTATGCTGGCTAGCTTTATGTCAGCTTGGTACAACTAGTGTCATCTGAGAGGAGGGAACCTCAATTGAAGAAAATGACTCCATAAAATCTGGCTGCAGGCAAGCATGTGGGGATATTTTCTAGATTAGTGACTGATGGGATAATGTCCAGCCCATTGTGAGTAGTGACATCCTGGGCTGTTGGTCCTAGATGCTGTCATAAAGCAGGATGAGCAAGCCAGTAAATAGTACTGCTTCAAGGCCTTGTATCAGTTCCTACTTTTAAGTTCCTGTCCTGTGTGAGTTCCTGCCCTGATTGTCTTCGATACTGATTGGGGACATGGAAGAATAAGTGAAATAAAGCCGTTATCCCTGCCATGCTTTTGGTCATGGTGTTTTGTTACAGTGACAGAAACCCTGACTAAGACAGTAAGTCAGTCTTTCTTTTGGATACCATCTCCAGGAGTTAAGAATCTTTATTTATTAATAATAATCAACTATGAACTTGTGTTCC